TACAGGGGTACCTTGACCTTTTAAATGGCTGCATAGTTGTGATTCTTTGATCTGTGCTCCTATTTATGGCATTTATTTAGGTTTAGGTTGTGGGATTGTTGTTTTTTTTTTTTTTTTTTGCTGTTACAAATAATTCTTTATTGACTTTCTCTATGGTAGTTATAATAATAGCTAAGATTTATTGAGTATTTACTCTCTATCAAGTAAATGAGGACTATATCATTTAATTCTCATTGTTGTGTGTGTGTGGGTGGATGTGCATTTCTTCCTATTTCCTCACATTTCCATACCTGCCCATCGGGAGGGTAGAACTTCAGCTCAAACGTCCTTGACTTCTAAGGAAAGAATTATTACTGGGGGAAAAGAACCTTACGTAGGAGGAAGAATTGCCAATCTAATGGTCAGAGTGGGACATTTGTGCCAGAAGGACTTGTAGGTTTTATCCTTCCTTTTTCACATCCTGTACCCAGGACCAGCAGGCGAATATGGTCAGCAACCTCGGACTGGCCTTTTAGAGGCAGATCTGACCATTCTCTTAGTTCTCTGTTATTCCTACAGCTGGGATGAGGGCTGGCTGGGGAGTGGACTGAGTGTGTTCTGCAGATCTAGTTCTGTCTCTCTTCCAGTAGGCATACCTGAGTATGGACATATGAAAGTTTAGGTCTTTGTTGCATGGGTGTGGGGCCCCATTTGACCTTGTTCTTAAACTATATTTTCTAGTTTCAGCATTCATCCCATATTTGCATTGGGAATTATTAGAGATTTCCCAGCCATTAAAAAATCAGAACATCATTTCTCAACTTTATTGAGGTATAACTTACATATGATAAAATACAATTAAGATATAGAACATTTTTGCCATTTATGAAAATTACTTCATGCTTCTTTGCTGTCCATTTCACCTAGGCAGCCACTGACCTTTTTTTTTTTTTTGGTTAGTCTAGATTAATTTTGCCTCTTCTATGATTTTATCTAAGTATGAGATGAATTTTATATAAGATGAATTCTTATTTTGCATTTGGCTTCTTTTACTCAGCATTATGTTTTTGAGATTTACCCATGTTATCGCATATCAGTAGTTTCTTTTTAATTGCTGGGTAGTATTCCACTGTATGGCTATACCACAATTTGTTTATCCATTCACCTGTTGGTAGACGTTTGTGTTATTTTCAATTTTTGGCTGTTATGAAATAAAGCTGCTATGAACATTTGCATACAATGTGGCTATATGTTTTCATTTCTCGTGACTAAAAAACTACGGGTAGACTTCGTGGGTCACATTAACTTTATAAGAAACTGTATTACATCTTTGCCAATATTTAATGTTGTCGGCCTTTTACATTTCTCTGTGTTTTTTTTTTTTACACAACAGACCAAAATGGTAACATGCTTTTTTTCTTTTTCAATATAAATTTGTAAAGGGATTTTACAGCCTTCAGAAATGTCAGGAGGTTCATTTATGTGAATAGTTAATGGTCTGAGATGGGTAATGTGAAAGGTATCCCTATAGGCTCCTTACAGGACATAAAAGTTTAACTTATTTCTACCCCATCTCTTCTAGTCCTACATGAATTAAAAATTTTAACAGAAATTATTATTACGGGAGTTTATAGCACAGAGTGAGTCCATAGGCCTGACCACAGGTGTTCCTGATGGCCTTTCTCACATTGTTCTAGACTAATATTGTCCAAGGAAGATTTCTGCAATGATGGTTAGTAGCCACATGTGGCACTTGAAATGTGGTTAGTGTAACAGAAGAACTGAATTTTTAATTTTAATTAATTTTAATTTTCATAGCCATATGTATCTAGTAGTTACTTTATTGAACAGTGCAGTTCTAAAATGTTATTTTCAGGAAAGGTCATCTGACAAGAAGTAATTGAGTGAGACTTGTCAGCTGAACTGGGTCTGGGGCAAGTTCATGTTTTCTGTCCTACTTCCTGTTCCTGTGGGGGATCTGCGTGTCTCTAGAGAGATGTAACCACGGCCTGAAGCACCACAGAGGGAGAACCTGTGGGTTCGTGAGGGTGCTTCCTCATTAGGGTAGGGCAGTTATTTGGTCATGAGCTCTTCTAGTCAGGTACTAAGCTCTTTGTTTTTTTCTGTTTATTTTGCCCTACCAAATTCTTTGGTAAACAATAAAGCATGTGTTTAAATAATCCAATTTTTAAAGTAGACTTTTGGATGAAAGTATTTTATTTATATTTTGAAACTGTACAGTGTTGCCCAGAGGAGTCCTGGTTAAATCTTCGCAATTTTTTTGATGAAGAGAAGTGAATTCTCTTTCTGCACTTTAAAGGTTCTGAAATAAATAATGATATAATTACTTCCAGTAAAGTTTCCATTAAAGATTTGTTGAGATTTTCATGCTTTTGAGTAGCAATAAGTTAATAATTTTTTACATTTCAAGTTGTTAATGAAAATATTTTACAGCCCTCAGACAGTTAAATGTTCTAGTAACTCAGATAACTAAACTTATATAAAATTGCCTATCAATTTTGTATTTTCATTTCTTAATAGCTGCATGGCTGTATGGCTGGGCTTTCATTATTGTTTCCTAGAAGCAAAGTCAATGTTAGAAAAATTATGGAATTTTCCCTTGGCATTACTGTGGTACGTAAACAGCTACTATTTATAGGGACGTATATTTTTATGAGAAAATGAGACACCCTGCTTGGCTTACCATAAAAACACAGATGCTTCTAGAATTCAGTAGGGAGGCATTTTGCTCACAGCATCTGTTTTAGTTGGCCAGCCAGATGACTTCTACAGATTTTCTCACTCTTTTTTGAAGGACACCACCTCTTTGACAAGTAAACAAGTTTACAAATGAAAAGGTTAACTTAGCATTTTGTAGATTTTTTATTAGTACTTTGGCTATATCAGTTCTGTATAATTTTGAATTCTTAGATTATTTTAATTAAATTATATCACTTCCTAAATAACCTTGGAATGTCCTTTGTGTACATGTTCTTTGCATTGCTTATTTTGTGGTTGAGAGAGATTTGTATTGATCCATAAGTTCATTTATTCAGCAAATGTTTGATGAGCACTCACTGTGTGCCAGGCCCTCTACTAGCCTGGGACCCACAGACGTGAGCCAGATACAAGCTCAGTCCTTGAGAAGCTAATGTCTTTTATGCAATGCAAACATGTAAACAGACAATGAAAATACAGTCGGGTGCTTCCATTTGAAGTTTATTTTATCAGTTTAGTGGGGAGGGGAAGATGTCTAGGAAGGTCTTCTAGAAAAAGTAATGTCTGAGCTGAGAATTGTAGAATGAGTAGGAGTTGGCTAGGCAAGGGGCTCAGGGTTAAGGGAGAGAGAAGAATATAAAAGGAAGAAGCCTGTAGGTGAAAGAGACCCCAGGGTAGGTGGGAAACTAAAAATGTTTGGTACATTTTTATCAGATGGCTGATCGAGCTGTGACCGGGGGCAAAGTACTGTCTCATTCAGAAAGCAGACTTATGACCTAGACTTCATTCATTTCATGTTCTAAATAAGTGATTTCCAAATATTTTATCATGAAGCCTGTAAGTAAAAAATTTTTCGATGGTGTATCTCCAATATATATACACACTTATTTATAAGTGGTACACTAATAGTTTATATATACATAGTAAAACATATACAAAAAGAGATTAAAAGGATAAAGTAAAGATGAAAAATATATTCTCATTTGTATTTTATTAATAATACAGGAAGCAAAGTGATACTTCATTATTCTTTAAAATCTTGGTTTAATATTTTGTGATACACCTATTCCAAGGTATGTTTCTAAATTCAGTTTATTTGGTACTTGGATTATCCTGAAAACACTTCAAGTGCACATATCCCACTTTAGAGACCACTGCTCTAAACAACTGGGATAACTATTGAAACTAGCCTCTTAAAACAAAAACAAAGCGAAAAGTAATTTATTTTCCTCTATAAATTTGTATTTGAGAGACAAATTTAAGAAGAATCAACTTTGGCTTGAGGTTTGAAGAATGAGCACTTTAGTCATAACAGATGATGACTATGAGTGTCATATTTCACAAACTAGGAAACCCTAGAGATTGGTGGAACTATTTTTTAAAAACATACCCTGTAATTTTCTTTGTTGGGTGATATTTGGAAGATGGTTTTTCTCAATCTATAGGAGATGTGGTTCATAGCCACTTGGGATCTCTTATAAAAAGATACTTTTTCATGATACACTTTATCGAACTTACTGAATTTACTTCATTGCATTTGGATCAGTTAAAATTCTTTTTTTGGGGGAAGAGATGGAAAACTAACTCAAATAAGCTTGAGCAAAAAAGAGAATTTATTAGCTCATAACCAACGTTCAGGACTGGTCTCAAGGGCTTTAATTTGGTTGTCAGCTCTATGTTGCTAGGTGTCTATTTGTTTTCTTGTATCTCTGTCACCTTTGCTTTCTCTGTAATAGTTTTATTCTCTTCTAGAGCAGAAAGTCTTCTTCCATGCAGTGATGAGGCAATGGAGAGTGCCTTTGTCTCTTTCTCTCTCTTTTTTTTCTTTTGCTTGAGGAAGATTAGCCCTGAGCTAACACTTATGCCAGTCTTCCTCTATTTTGTATGTGGGTCACCGCCATAGCATGGCTGACGAGTGGTGTAGTCTGCGCCCAGGATCCAAACCCATGAACCTGGGCTGTTGAAACAGAGCGCATGAAACTTCACCACCACGCCACGGGGCCGGCCCCTGAGAGTACCTTTCTTGTAGCACCTGTCTATATAAAAATACCATGGTTGTAATAAGACTCTGTGTGGTTGCATGTGTGCTGTGATTGGCAGGCACACAGAAACATGGGAATGGGACAAGGAACAGTTTTCCACAGGAAAGGTTTGCTATTATCACAGCGAAAGGGATGCTGGGAGTCAAAAACAATAGGTGTTACTACAGGTGATGAGGGATAGAGGACAGGAAGGCGTAAACTATTCTGTAAGGTTATAAAAAGATGACTTAATTTTGTTTTCCTAATCTTTGGTTTTTATAGAGTATGCAAGCTGCAAGATGTCCTACAGATGAATTATCTTTAACCAACTGTGCAGTTGTGAACGAAAAGGATTTCCAGTCTGGCCAGTGAGTATCTATCTAGCTTTGTTTTCTTCTAACCTGCTAAGTGGTATTTTAGAAACTTCTAGAGAGCCCGTATTTTTTAGGAAACTTGAGAGTAATTTTTGTATTCCTCTTGCTGAGTTGGAAAATGGAAGAGATAAGAAAGAGTTATATATTTCAGACTTTACTGTGTTAAACTTTGATAAATAAAATGTTTTTTAAATCATGCATAGCTTTTTGTATATAACGTTTATTTTTTATCGATTTTCTTAGCAGAACTGAACATACTGGTCATATGAATCATATATAGCATAGTCATTAGGTTTTCGCCTCTGGAGTCAGATCGTCTTGAGTTTGGATCCTGCCTCTGCCAGTTACAAACTGGGTGACCATGGATAAGTTATTTACCATCTCTGTACCTCTGTGTCCTAATCTGTAAAATGGAGATGATGATAATGTCTTCCTGAGGTACTTGTGAAGATTGAATTACACAAAGAAAGCACTTAGAACAGCGCCTAGCACATTAATAAGCCTTCAATAAATATTAGCTATTTTAATCATTATTACTGTGATAATCTAAGAGACATGAAAATTGGAAGATGCACAACAAGTGCAGAATCTTTACATTTTTTATTGTCATTTATTTTAACTGATTCACATCACCCACTGCCAGAACTTCTGAAGACTCCGCTACCAAGTTCAGTGTCCTCGATATGCTTCTGAGGTTGGTAGAGATAAGGAGATGAAGGGGCTGTAGAAGGCAGACTAGGAAATAAGGAACAAAGAGGCAGGATTTTAACTGAGCCTTTTTTTGTTTTTTTTTTTAGCCTATTTGTGAAATACTTGAGTTTCACAGAGTTAGAATTGCTAATCATCTGTAGTTTTCAGCACAGAGTAAGGGGCTCTCCTTCTTGATTGTATTAATATTATTTCTAGTCCTAAAAATTCTATAATGCTAAGTTGAACATAGAACTTTCCGCATATAAACTGGAGTGTAGATAATCAGTGTGAGAATTTGCTTTATGGAATTCCTTTACATATGTCAAATGTTCACTGTACTCATGATGGGATTACTTAAAATATAGTTGGTATGAGGAACTTGTGTTCTAGTAACAAAATGATATGCATAGAAACATTAACCATTAATATTAAAAAATTATAGCATTCTAAAAGATAATTTTAAAAATGATAGTGCTGTTGCTTAACAGTTTGAAGCTTCCATCTCAGACACAGTTGTTGGTAGTTAACTTGGTGTAGGAGATTATCATGAGATGACTATATTTTGTCTGTTTATGAGTAACTACTGAGCAGGGTGAATTAGCACAAAATGCTTTGAAATAGTAGATATTGATATCTATATGAAAGCTGATATATTTTGTGAAAATTTTTCATTTTTACCATCTTTTTAATTTTACAGATTTTTACTGTCTCAACCTGTTGTGAGATTGTGCAAAGAGATTTAATGAATAGTCCTAAAAACTAACTTTGACTCTTATATCCTGGCTCTTCTATCTTTGGTTCTCCTCCCTTTATTCTATTTAGGATATGAAGTAATTCTCAGGAAAGGAAATTCATCTAATTTTTACTTAATATCAAGGACTCTAAATCACTGACTTTCGTTTTATATAAACTGGAAATGTAATGAAGTAGATGTTTTTGGATAGTATGTGCTCTCTTGAACTTGGTCCTGATTCTGCTTGATGTGTGTTTGGCCCAGGGTGCTCCTTATGCCTGAAAAATATTTTGAATTGCTGACGTATTTTGGAAATGAAATATTGTAGTCCTATTCCTTCAAGACTCTCATGATGCCGTGTTTCCACCTGGTACTCATCAAGCATCAGTTATTGGTATTGGAAATGAACACATTTGACATGGAGTACTGACTGGGTTTCTGTCTTTTAGGCACGTGATTGTGAGGACCTCTCCAAACCACAGATACACATTTACTCTGAGGACCCATCCTTCAGTGGTTCCAGGAAGCATTGCATTCAGCTTACCTCAGGTAACTGTTAATTTATTCTCTTCTATTCTTGAAAGTCGTGGAAGAATCAATTCATTTAAAGCAAGAATTACCCTATAACTGTATTGATTGACATTGAAGAAAATCATCTAGGTATTATATAAGGAATTTCAAGATATGTTCTTAATTGCCAATTTTTACTGTGTCTGCCTTTTATTGCCTTGATTTTTTTCCAATTTTTAAAAATTCTGCAGTAATATCAGTTAGCTATCAGATAAAGTGTCAAGTTATTTTAATGTTAACTCACCGGGTAACAGAAAATATATAAAAATAACATTTACTTGTAAAATTAACATCTAATAATGATGATTTTAAAATACAGTGATGTCAAACTAGAGAATATGGTGAGTAGTTGTTATCTCAAATTACAACCTAACTTGCTGGGCTTCTGGAACAAGTGGAAGGATTATGATTATATATATAACTATTGGTGGATTCTGTGGAGGGAAAATGGCCTAGCATTGTTGCAGGCACGTAATAGGTAATCTAAGAGCATCACAAGTGCTAGTCTGTGTCTTTTTCTCCCTTATCATCTTGCTCATGCTGCTGATTGCACAGTCCTAAGCACTGTAAGTGCAACCCCTACCTCCTAGTATGCTAATGAGCATTGATTTACTCCCCTGGTGGTTGAGGGAGAGAGATCAAACACTTGTTAGGGGACTATTAAAGATCTCTTGCAGCCCTCAGAAATTATGAGAAATCCTCACTCACTAGTCTCCTTCACTGTTTAGATGCCTCTCCATTATCAGGACTACTTTTCACATTTGTTTCTACAAATCAAAGGTTTGGGATACTCTAGAGTTTGCCAGCTTTTACAGAGCTACATTTGAGATTCTGGTAGTCAGAAATGGAGTTTCTGATTATTTCTCCTTGTCCCTCTGCTTTTTAAAAAAATTTCCCCAACATTTACTCTAGGCAAGTTACTATTCTAAGTACTTTTGCATGTATTAGCTCATTTAATTCTCAAAACAACCCCATATGATAGATACTATTGTCATCCCTTGAGAGGCTGTCTTTGGAATTGAGGTACAGAACCTAAATGCGGCTGCTTTGTGACCCGAAGTCTGGGCTTAACCAGCATGCTGCTAAATTTCAGGTTGGCCAGAAGTGGGATGGGGTGTTGTAGGAGATGGAGGTGAAGGGCAGAGAGGAGGGAGAAGTGACCTACGGTGAGAAAGTTGGAAGGGAGAGCACTTGACATTGCGCATATTCTAAATGCAGCATCTTTTAACTATCCACCACAAAATCTACGGTGTTCAGATGATTAGACAAACTGTTGATTTTCAGCCAAAAATTATTTTTCTCACAGTTCTTTGAAATGTTATCAGTAATTATTCATTTTGAATCCATACCAAGCCAGTCCTGAATTCCTGCCTAAACACAATCTGGCCTGCCTCCGTACATTCTTGCCATTATAACTAGTCAGGACCTGGGGAGAAGCTAAAGTCTAGTTGCAAATGTCTGAAAATGCTTTTAGTTATGACCATTTAATGATTTGAATTCCTGCTTGCATTTCAGTGTAGATTATCTGACCAGTTTTAATTTAGTTTTCATGAATTGAATGTCTTTCTTTTTGTGATACTCTAACAAACGGTATAACTAACCACAGTATATTTAGAATATTATCTGATACTATGAAAGCCTTCAGGAGCATTTTATTATGCAAAGGAGCATCCTACTCAGCACTGCCGGCTTTACTGTAAAAAGGCAAGCTTTGTATGTTTTTGGACAGATGTTCAGATATAAACTATAGCATATAAGTTTTCTAGGGCTGCTGTAACAAAGTACCACAAACTGGGTGGCTTAAAACAACAGAAATTTATTCTCTCACAGTTCTGGAGGCCAGAAGTCTGAAATCAGGGTGTGTCAGCAGGGCCGTGCTCTCGCTGACGGCCCTAGGGAAGAATCTGTTCCATGCTTAGCTTCTGGTGTTGCCAACCATCCTTGATGTTCCTTGACTGGTAGATATATCACTTAAGTCTCTGCTGCCATCATCAGATGACTTTCTCCCCCTGTGTCTGTGTCTCACTTCTCTTCTTATAAGGACACCAGTCATATTGGCTTATTGAATCCTAATTCAGTATGACCTCATCTTCACTTGATTGAATCTGCGAAGACCCTATTTCCAAATACAGTCACACTCACAAGTGCCGAGGGTTAAGACTTCAACATATCTTTTTGTGCGACACAATTCAACACATAAGAGCATACTGTGTTTTGGACTTTGTGTTCCTGAAATTCATAGGAATTGCTCTTTTCCTCATTTCTCTAATTTTGTTTGATTTGATTTGAAGTGTCTTTTTTTCTCTTTTATTTTACAGCGAAAATGGGCTGGACTTTCTATTGGGCAAGAAATAGAAGGTAGGTATATTTTTTAGCTACCTGAGGTAGATTTTCTTTGTGATTTTTTCATAATTATGGAGCTCTGTACAATTTTCTGTTACTGGTTGTTAGGCCATTAAACATTCATCCTATTCATATTATCAGTTAGATCTATGAGAATGGAAAGTAAATAGTTATGGTACCGACCTCTTTATCTACTTGCTATTCTGCCTGGACATGATAATCTAATGGGAGAAAGAATATCCACATATTCATTGCTCAAAGAATATGTACAAGGTAAATATGTGCACAAATTTTAGCGTTAGGAGCTCTGTGTGAAAGTGCTGAGATAGAACAGGAGTGGATGAATTGACTGGAGACTGGAAAATTAGCCAGAGAAGTCTTTCTAGGCACTGGAGTTTTGAGCATAATTGTGAAGTAGGGGGAAATCATTACATGGTAGAGACAAGGAAGAAAGACTCGCAAAATGAGAAATAATATAAATAAAGGTAGTGAGATGGGAGCATGGAGATCATAGGCGGTGCTCAGGAATTATGTTTGCCTGATTGAAAGGATTTGCCTGAGTGGATTGTATTAAGTGATGAGAGTAGAGTATGTAGTTAGTGGAGGGCCTAGAAGTGAAGAACATACTGAAAATTTTGGATTTTACACAAAGACAATTGAGAGCTCCTGAGGGTTTCTGAATGAACCCATCAAAATCCTACCTTTAGAAAATAATTCTATTGTCAGTGTGGGATATAGTGAGGAGTTGGGAGAATTCAGGAGTCAAGGAAAATAGCTCAGAGGTTATTTGACTTGCCTAGAATTAAGTTGAATAGGACTTGAAATTATGGCTATGGAAAATTTTTTTAAAAGTCTAAGTTATGTTGAAGAGGAATCATTGGTATTACTTGGTGATTCCATTTTACTGTATACTGAGATATGTTTTCTTCTGTTTGTTTGGAAAGATAAATCAGATTTAAGTTAAGGAGAAGAAAGGGTGGCAATATTTAAACAAATGGTGTATTTTTTTAATGAAGTGTGTTATAAAGTCCTCGTAGTTCATTAGATAAGGGCATGGAAAGCAATTTATGACTTCAGGGGAATAAAAGGGCTAAGCTGCTTGTGGATTATAGGCCAAGAAGCTCATAAGCAAGAACTGGCAGTGTCTCAAAGTTGGGGAAATGGAGTATGAATCTTCTTGTCAGATAGTTTCATACCAACTTCATGGGTATAGTAGGGGAAGAAAAGAAAATGCAAGTATAATTAAGCCAGCTTTTTTTCTGCTTGTTTCTAAAACCTAAAAAAAATTCATATTTACAGAAAGGTTGCAAAAATAATACAGAGAATTCCTGTATACTACTTTTACCCAGATTCACCAATTGTCATATATATTTTTATCATTTTCTCTCTCTCCACACACACACGCATGCGCACGCACACACACACGTGCACACACATTTCTTTTCTGAACTCTTTGAGATGAAGTTACAGAAATCATTCGTCTTTACCTCTAATACTTCAGTGTATATTTCCTAAGAACAATCATGTGCTCTTATAGCAATCAAATTCAGGAAGTTAAACATTGATATAATTAAACATTTGAAACTTTAATCTATAGTTCATATTCCAATGTTGTTAGCTGTCCCAGTTATCTCCTGTATAGCATTTTCCCCTTCAGTGTAAGATCCAGTTCAGGATCATGTATTGCACTTAGTTGTCATTTCTCTAATCTTTAGCTTTTTCTTTGCTTTCATAATGGTGACATTTTTGAAGAATACATTTATAAAATGAGGAGTCATTGGTCAAAGGGTACAAAGTTTCAGTTATGTAAGATGAATAAGTTCTGGAGAGCTTATGTACTGCACGGAGATTGTAATTAACAATACTGTATTGTATACTTAAAATTTGCTAAGAGGGTAGAGAAAATGGTTCATGTGCACTGAAAAGGAGATATGTTCTCTGTTATCAGGGTGTAGTGTTTGATACATACCTATAAGCTCTACTTTATTGATTATGCCATCTAGATCTTCTATATTCAAACTTATTTTTGGTCACTTGACCTGTCTTGCACTGAGAGTGGTGTGTTAAAATCTTGTTACTAGTGTTTTTCTGTCTATTCTTCCTTGCCTCTCCTGTAGTTTCTATTTTACATAGTAGTTTCTGTGTTATTTGGTATGTAGGTATTCATAACTGTTATATTTTTATTGTGAATTGTGGTGTTTGGCATTATAAAGTGTCCCTCTTTATCTTGTTTAATGTGTTTTGAATTAGACTTTGATATCAGGATCACAATCCCTCCTTTCTTACTGTTTTTAATTTGCTCGCTATATCTTTGCCCATCTTTTTACTTTTAGCCTTTTTAAATCACTGTGTTTTAGATGTGTCTGTTATGTACAACGTAGAGTTGGGTTTTGCTTTATGAGCTAATTTGAAAGTCTTTTCTTTTAATAGGTTTGTTAAGCCCATTCACATTTATTGATATGACTGATACGTTTGATCTCAATTCTGTCATTTTATGTTTTGGTTGTGTTTCTCTAATTGGTATGTCTTTTTGCCAGTTTGTACTTGGTTGGATAAAACCTATCCTCTAGTAGATTCCTCCAGGAAGTATATATGTGTACAATGTATACACATATATATCCCTGGTTCCTGCATATTCAAGAATATCCCTTGTATCCCTAAGTTCTTGCATATTCAAATAGTGCATATTATATCTTTGATATTTCAAGCACAGCTTGGCTGGATATCAAATTCTTGGCTTGTTTTTTTCCCTTGAATTTCTTGAAAATGCTGCATCACAGTTGCCTTCATTTGTATGATGCTCTTGAGAAGGCTGATGCCAGTCTAATTTTCTTACCTTTATAAGTAATTTGATTTTTCTGCCTGGGAGCCCTGAGGACTTTTCTGTCTTTAAAGTCTAATATCCTTGTTAGGATATTTTTTGGAATTGGTCGTTCTGGATCAATGACCCAGGTATATTATAGGTCATTTCAATATGTAGATTTAACTTTTCTCTTATTTCCAGAAAGTTTTCTTAGATTATGGTTTTAAGTATTAATTCTGGTCTAGTGGTTTTGATTTTCTTCTCATGGGCTCCAATTATATGTATGTTGGAAGTTGTAAGTGGTTCCGTTTCAACCACTTCCTCTCTGTTCTTTTTCTTTCTTTATCTTATTTTTATTATCTTCGTCATTTTCCTATCTTTCTTTACTGCTTATTAAATATTAATTTGAATCTCTTCTCCTGTGGACACTTTGTAATTTATTCTTCACTTGTGAAATAGTTTTAACTTTTTCTTCAATTTCTTTCCTGAATTCCATAAATCCTCATTGTATTTCTTTTGTCTATTTCTGTTCTTAGTTTTTAATCTTCTGATTTTAGGTGTTTGGTATATGTCTACATACTTGTTTGAGGATACTTGATTTAGTTTAAAGTATTATATATGTATTTTCTATTTCATGGTTGATCTTTTTGGGGAAGACACTTCAGCTGAAATGCTGCAATATTTTGTTATATGTCATGTTTTCTTTTTACAGTAACTTTGTGAAGTTATTTTTTTCTATTTATTATGATTTTGTAAACAAGATTATCAGTCCAAGAGCATTCTTTTCTTATATAGAGAAGTACAGTTTCTTTAATAAATAATGGTGAGATGGAGGGGGAGGTAGAGAGCTTGGTTGGCATAGCTTATTTCTTTTCTGTTTCTGCATGATCTTTAATTTTCCTCTCTTACTGCCTTCTTTGCCTTCATTGCCACATCTCTAAGGGCACCATCCCTTCTCTATGTATCTGATTCTTTCCAACAATTCTTTGATGCTGCCACTTCCAGTCCTAGTTACTTTCAAGTCCTTTCCTGTCCCTGGAGTTATGGACTACAAAGTCCCAAACTTGTGTTTACTGTTTTGGCATCTCGTGTTGGACTTTCTTATTTGGGATGGTTTTGTCTGTACTTTGTCTAAGTCCTGCTCTCCCTACTCCTCTTTTTCCACAATGGGAGCTCTGTGTAATTTTGTTGGATATTTCTGTACTTTCAAGTAGTTTGAGTTTCATGGGTTCTCTGTTTCTTAGTGCTGCTGAAGCTATGGACTGTATGTGGCATTATTTGTCCTCCTTGTTGCTCCCTCAGGGTTTTAGGAGGATGTGTGGGAGTATTCAGATTTATGAGGGCACCATTATCCTCTAGATCCAATGCTTTTGAAAGCATTCAAAGATATAGTAGCTTTAAACTGGTTGAAAGAAGACAAATACTTAAAGTCTTTGCCCGGAACACATTACTAGCCTGGTCTGTAGTAGAGATGTCTGAGAAGAGAAGTTGGTAAAGTGGCAAGAGAGAACATTCTACTCCTCATTTAGGAACATGGCAACTTATAATTTTTTTTCTGAGTTAGAGGGAACTTAAATATTGGGGTTATCTTCAATTGGGCTTTTCTTTTTCTTTGTGGAAGTAGGATGAGGGCTAAAATTTTTTGATTGGGAGTAAAAATAAAGGAAATTACTTTAGATATGGGTAGCTGGTGGAGATGGTTGCATTATTAGTGCTTTCCAAACTTGCCTCAAAGAAACACCTGGGGAGTTTGGGTTTTGTTGTTTTTTGTTTTTTTGGGGTTTTTTGCTGGGAAAGATTCGCCCTGAGCTAACATCTGTTGCCAATTTTCCTCTTGTTTTTTTTTTACCCCCTTCCCCAAAGCCCCAGTACATAGCGGTATATTCTAGTTGTAAGCCCTTCTAGTTCTACTATGTGAGCTGGGACCACAGCATAGCTACTGGCAGACGGGTGGTGAGGTTCTGTGCCTGGGAACCGAACCTGGGCCGCCAAAGCAGAACATGCTGAACTTTAACCACTAGACCATCAGGGCTGGCTCCGGGAATTTGGTTTTTTAAAAAAGATTCCCAGGGCCGGCCCCGTGGCTTAGTGGTTAAGTGCGCGCGCTCCGCTGCTGGCGGCCTGGGTTCGGATCCCGGGCACGCACCGACGTGCTGCTTCTCTGGCCATGCTGAGGCCGTGTCCCACATACAGCAGCTAGAAGGATGTGCAGCTATGACATACAACTATCTACTGGGGCCTTGGGGGGAAAAATAAATAAATAAATAAAATCTTTAAAAAAGATTCCCAGACCCCTCCCTTGGGGAGTCTGATTCATGAATCTGTGTTTTTAACAACCACCCTGCCACATTTCGGGAAACATTGACAGAAGTGATTCCCTTAACTATCACCCCATCACCTGGAGCATAGTGAGAAGCTGAGACAGTGGAGGAGTTCAGCACCAAAGTGAAGTAGGCAAACCAAAGTTTGCAGACATTGGCAGAAATAAGAATGAACACTGTTAAACCTAATGAGAAAATGGGTATGTATATAGCCTAGGTTTCTAATTTCCTTAAACTTATTTTTCTAAATATGGGGTTAAGAGGGTGCTTAAATTAAACTTTTTTTTTTGGTGAGGAAGATTAGCCCTGAGCTAACATCTGTTGCCAATCCTCCTCTTTTTGCTGAGAAAGATTGGCCCTGGGCTAACATCTGGGCCCATCTTCCTCTACTTTATATGTGGGATGCCCGCCACAGCATGGCTTAATAAGCAGTGTGCCAGTCCACACCCAAGATCTGAACCTGTGAACCCCAGGCTGCCAAAGTGGAGCATGCAAACTTAACCACTACACCACTGGGCTGGCCCCTTATATTTAACTTTTAATGTAGATAAATTCTATTGTGAAAAGGTATAAAAATTTGAGGTTATAAATTTTGATGAATTTAGAAACATGTTTTGTGGCTTATATTATGTTTAAAGCATTCTCCTGCTACCAGAAATGCTTATCTTAATTGTAAAGTCAGTTCTTTAAAAGGTGAATAAAACAGACTTAATGGGCAAAATTATAAAACTAAGTGATTAGGTGAGACTAAGGTGGAGTAAGTTGAGGCAACGAAGAGTTTGGGGGCCTAATTGCTGTGGATGATGTGGCCATAAAGGTAGAAAGCTGGTTGAGTGTAAGTAGAGATGTAGGCAAAGATATGCTAGGAGGTGTGATGTGAAGGCGAGTGCTAATTCAAAGATTCCAGAACAGGAGTTCTGTCTGTAAGGTGAGATAATTTTTTAGTCAAGTCAGTGATTTTAGTCTGAGAGAATCTTCCAGAAGAATCATTTAGAATTCTCTCCATCTGGAAATGCCATATTTTAAGTATTACAGACTGATTTTCAATAGCAAATGTTTTTTGAACATTGTAGTATACCTATTATTGTAATGTCTGCTTATTCAAAGCAATGGCTGTAAATTTTTCTTTGCTTATGAAAATATTTTTCACTAGTCTTTGACATTAAATTGTTATTAGCCATAAAATAAGAAAACATTCTCAACCTTCTGGCTCTTTGCTCCTGGATGAAACCTTCAGGGTACCTGTCCCTTTGGGGCTGATGATGGTGCTGTCCATGGTGCTGCCCACAGCATTTGAAGCTGTTGTAACAGTTTGATCTTTTCTGTTGAGGAACACGGACTCGAATTAAAATGCATTGGCAAACTATAGTCAGTAATGATGATATTTTAATACACTTATTCAAATTTCTTGATATAAAGATGATATATACACATACATATATATGCATCAGGATGTGGAATTATTTAGGAGTCTTTGCACAAAATGGTATCATACTGTACAAATTTTTCTAAAGTATAATTTTTTTTTTTTGGTGAGGAAGATCAGCCCCAAGCCAACGTCTGATGCCAATCCTCCTCTTTTCTGCTGAGGAAGATGTCCCCCATGGGCACATCTGTGCCCATCTTCCTCTCCTTTATGGGACACTGCCACAGCACGGCTTGACAAGCGGTGCATCGGTGCATGCCTGGGATCCAAACCTGCAAAGCCTGGGCTGCTGAAGTGGAACACGTGCACTTGACCACTGCGCCACTGGGCCAGCCCCATGAAGTGTACTTTTTAAACTCAATATTCTGGTTTTTTGTTTTACAGGGGAAGATTTGCCCTAAGCTAACACCTGTTGCCAATCTTCTTCCTTTTTTCTTCCTTCCCCCGCAACAAACCCCAGTACGTAGTTGTGTATAGTTGTATATTCTTCTGGTTCTTCTCTGTGAGCTGTGGCCACAGCATGGCTCCTGACAGACAAGAGGTGTAGGTCTGCGCCCGGAAACTGAACCTGGGCTGCCAAAGCAGAGCAGCCCGAACTTAACTGCTAGGCCATCAGCGCTGGCTCTCAATATTATGTTTTAATGGGCCATCCATCTTTATCAAATATACATCAAGTTTTTATTTTAATTGCTGTATAGTACTCCACATTATGAATATGCTGCATTTTATTCATCATTCCCCTACTGATCAGTGTTTTTTCAATGTTTAACTTTTACAAATAATGCTATGATGAACCTCCTTATAGATCTCTTTAGGCAAATGTTCAGGAGTCTTTCTGGGACAGACACCTGGAGATGGAATTGCTGAATCAACTTATTTGTTTTTACCTTAATATTACATCCTGTACATATCTTCACTATGTGGGGAGCAACTGAGTTCTCTTGCTTATGAAAGTTACTCAACATATAACTTGTACTTTCTAAGAAATGTTAAGAAAGAACAAAACACCCAGAAGTGGAGGCAGGGGAGTATTCTGAAACTTTCAGCCGAGATTTGAACTTATTCTTTGATCTTCAGTGAATTTTCTATCCCTCACCCTGGCTTTCTTTGTTATTTTGCTTTTGAAAATGTTTATCTTTAAAATATGTGTGTCCCCATTTATAATGGCAAACCAAAATATAAAAATATGATTACACAAGCAATTTCATTCGAAGAATTTATAGAAAATCCCTATACATAATTCAAGTGGCTAGACTATAAGAAACAAGTTTAAAACTGAATTTAGAGTATGAAAGGACCATTAAGATTTGACTAGTCCAGTCTTCTTATTTTACGGATGTGACAAATCAAGGCACAGAGCTAGATGATTTACTTAGATTGTTCCAGTTACTAACAGAATCTATTGAAACACATAGACTCCAAAGTTCCTTTGTCTTGCCTCCTTTGTTTTTATAATGGACACTATAGGTTTTTTGCTGTTGTTGTTTAATTTAAATAATTCATGAATATATTAAGCATCTAACAGACTATTAGGTGCTGTTAATACAAAGATGAGTTAAAAACATGGTCCTCGCCCTGTTCTACGTGTTGTACATGTAGAACGTACTGTGGTTCCCTGGATATGGTAGGTGCTCAGTAAATATTTTTGTAGTAGTAAAAAAGAAATGCTCTGGAGCAAATCTCCCTAGTAAACACTGTTTCTCAAGCCTTCTTTTTTTTGTCCTGCGTCCTACTTTTTTAGGGCAAAAGAGTCCACTCAACTCTCACCTTAGCTCTTTCTTATGTCAAACAAAAATCTGTTTGAAAGTCCCCAGTGGGACTTCCATACTGTCGTTTTGTCCTCTGGTAATTGAGAAGGAAAAAGATGCAGAGGCCATGTGAGGAGGGCTGCAATTTGTCCATAAGAGTTAGGTGAGGGGTAAAAGAGGGAGAATGCTGTTTAATATGTTCTAATTAATGCAGAGGGGAAGAAAATCTTTAGTGGTTATTATTTTTTCTGTCTGTGCCTATGTGTCCCTCCAATGAAGGCCATGTAAAGCCCTTTTTTGGTCGAGTTCTGATATGATTCATTTATGTTAAACTTTTAGTTACTCGAAACACAGCAAGTATTTGGTGTCCCTGTGATTTTAAAAATGCTTCCTTTTTTCCTAGTGTCCTTATATACATTTGACAAGGCGAAACAATGTATTGGTACAATGACCATTGAGATCGATTTCCTGCAGAAGAAAAGCATCGACTCCAACCCTTATGATACTGACAAGATGGCTGCGGAATTTATTCAGCAGTTCAACAACCAGGCATTCTCAGTGGGACAGCAGGTAGTTTTAAATTTTCTGTCATTCTTTTACTTTATAGGCATTCTAATTTCTGCAGATGTCTGAAATTGATTCTACCATTTAAAAACTGAGAGGAGCTTTGCATATGAACAGGTATATCCAAGATGAGTGATAAAAAGTGAGGGAAATGTATTTGCTGAGCCTCTAGGAGTCTGTTCAGGAAAATTCTAAAGTAGCTTTTAGGTTACAGTGTCATATATAATTACAGGGGCTTTTCCCTCTGTAAATTTGGGAACACTGCAGGCATATACGTCTCAAATTTCTTACTTCTTTTCTTATTGTGGGACATTTGTTTTGTCTTTGGATGTCTTTCTCTTTTACTGATATATTTCTGTAGAAAAGTAGTTCCTAACCTTTTTTGCTTATAAACTTCTTTCAGAAGCTTAAGAAAATTATGTAACATATATATATTTTCAGATTTTTCATGGAACCTCTGAAGCCCGGATAGTCTCTCCTTTAAAATTATATTGCTGATGTTGTCTCCTTTTTTGGACTTCGGTCAATATCATATTTCTAACCTCCTAGGAAGAAATTCTGTTCTTTTAAAATTTTACTTTAAAAAATATGTGAGTTCATAAGTTGCTGTTTGTACACATAAATAATCGTTGCTCTCTTGCCCTTACATTAATATGTCTCGTCCTTTGTGACTTTTCTTAATCATTCCTAACACCTTCCTTGTACCATAGCTTCATAGCAGTGGTTCTCAAAGTGTGGTCCTGAGATCCCTGGGGGTCCCTGAGGCCCTTTCAGCGGGTTTACAGAGTCAAAATATTTTTTATATTAATACCAAGACATTATGTGTCATTTTCTTCTTATTCTCTCACAAGTGTGCAATGGAGTTATGCAGACCATGTGGTGTGTGCTAGCACATCACATCCACTGTGGAAGCAGACGTGATGGCCCAGCTGTCTTCCATTCAGGCAGACATTAAAGGGATTTGTGAAAATATAACTTTGTCACTCTTCCCACTTTGTTTTTTATTTTGGAAAATGGAAGTTTTTTATAAATTAAAAATATGTTATTTATGTTAACACATAACGGATTTACTGTTATTTTTTAAATAAACAAATTTAAAGTTTTGTTCTGATTTCTGATATGGTGATTATCAATAGATATAATCCATATAAACAAAGGCTCTTTGGGGTCCTCAAAAATTTTTAGGATATAAAGGGATCCTGAGACCAAAATGTTTGAGAATCTCTGCTTATAGCATTCTGATCTCGAATGACTTACCTATAGTGCCCTCGCATGGGAAGGTGTGTAAGGTGGGCAATGAAGGAAAGAGCTGTTGGAGTGAAGGACTGTCATTCTTTTTTTTTTTTTTTTTTGTGAGGAAGATCAGCCCTGAGCTAACATCCATGCCAATCCTCCTCTTTTTGCTGAGGAATACTGGCCCTGAGCTAACATCTATTGCCAATCCTTCTCCTTTTTTTCCCTTTTTCTCCCCAAAGCCCCAGTAGATAGTTGTATATCATAGTTGCACATCCTTCTAGTTGCTGGATGTGGGACGCCGCCTCAGCATGGCTGGACAAGCAGTGCATCAGTGTGCGCCTGGGATCCGAACCTGGGCCGCCAGTAGCGGAGCTCGCACACTTAACCGCTAAGCCACGGGGCCGGCCCCAGGAATGTCATTCTTTTGATTCTCTTGTCTAACTGAAATGGAATTATAATATCATAATATTACAATACCAAACTTTCACAAGTGGAAACTGAGTTACTGATAGACAGGAAAAGGATACAGTGCATTTATTATTATTTTTAAGAATACTAGAATTGGACTGAACCGCAGAGATTATCTTGCCTAACCTCATTTTGCAAATGACGAATTTAGGTCTGGAGAAGGTAAATCATGTGCCCATGGCTACACAGTCAGGGGCATAATGAGACAAGAACCTATTTGGCAATTGATAAATTAATTAATTGAACAAATATTTATTGAACGCCTAATATGTTTCAGCTTCTAGTTTAAGCCCTGCGGATCACCAGTGAACAAAATAGACACAATTCCTACCCGTAGAGATTACTCTGTAGTTGGGGAAGACAGAAAATAAGAAAGAAATGCCATGTACTGTTAAGTACTTTGATGTCAGTGAAATGGGATGATGCATTAGAGAGCCACTGAGGTGCTACTTTGGATGAGATGGTCCGAGAAGGCTCCCGAAGATGACCTTCAGCTGATAATTTGTTGACTACCTGTCCATTGTTTTTTGGGCTATACTATATTCCTTCTGGATTCCTACACTTTTTGACTTATAGTTGTGCTCAAATTGCCTAGCTAAACTTCATTGTTTTTACCTTCTCCTTTAGCTTTAATATTTTACTAGAAAATGCTTTGGTATTTGTAATAATTTAAAACCCAGTAACATGCAGATATAAACCCATGAAAGAAATACCTTACCTCAAATCACCGTTCTTAGTATTTACTCCCATTCGTAGTAGTTAGTAGTGGCAGAGTTGACAGTCAGCTTTGCCTGTTATATTTACTGTTATACCCCAGCACGTAGAAGAGGGTCTAGCTTGTAGAAGGCACTCAATAAATATCTGATGAATGGATGAGCATTCAGAAGCTGTCTCTGCACTTGTATGGCAGGCATTTTGTATTGGTTGTAGAAAAGCATGAATTTTAGAGCCACACATCCAGGCTTGAATCCTGGCACTATCATTTACTGTGACTCTGGGTCCCATTGCTTAGACTCTCTCTGGATCTCAGCTTCCTAACTAGTAAAACTGAGGAATAATTTCTGTTCTGTTCTGTTCTGTTAATTACAGAACCTCCTGTAGTGTGTGTTTGGTTCATAGCCGATACTCAATAAGTGTCCGTTCCCTCTTCCTCTCATTGGCCATGTGAGTGGTTTGCCTGTGGAGCCGATTTGAGAGGGATCTACATGAGACAGCTGCTGCCCGCATTTGGAGAACATTGGTGATCATGTGAGAATTAAGCCGTATATCATGAAGTGATTTTTCTCCCCTTACCTCTTCTCTACATAGCTTGTTTTTAGCTTCAATGAAAAGCTTTTTGGCTTACTGGTAAAGGATATTGAAGCCATGGATCCTAGCATCCTGAAGGGAGAGGCTGCAACAGGTAAAAGACAGAAGGTATGTTTTATTTCTAATAATCTTTATTAGATAATCATTATGATGTGAATTGTGCAGATTAATATAATCTTCCTAGCCATTCTCTTGCTCAGTGATTTCTTTATATTATGTACTCTTTATTTTAAGATAATAGGAAGAAAAAATTCCTTTCATAGCTATCACTGTTATTAAAATATAGCAGAAAACACACTTATTTGCAGACCTAATAGTAATTTGAAATTTGTATATATACTTATAATCCTGATTGAATGCAGATGATATTTATTGTAAATAAATAATGACAGGCATTATCAAAAGATATATACACTGAAATAAAATAGGAATAGTAGAGGCAGTTATGACAAAAGTAAATGTCACTTAGATGATGGTCTGAAAGATTTTCTTTGCTCAGAGTGACTCATTTCCCCTTCATTTTTATTTGAGGGAGATTGGCTCTGAGCTGACATCTGTTGCCAATCTTCCTCTTTTTTTTTTTCCTTTTTTCTCCCCAAAGCCCCCAGTACATAGTTGTATATCCTAGTTGTAGATCCTTCTAGCTCTTCTATGTGGGACACCGCCTCAGCATGGCTTGATGAGTGGTGAGTAGGTCTGTGCCCAGGATCCGAACCGGCAAACCCTGGGCCGCCAAAGCGGAACATGCGAACTTAACTGCTGTGCCACTGGGCCTGCCCTCCCCTTCATTTTTGACCTTGCTTTGAGAAGTCCAGAAGTCTGCTATTAGACCAACTACTAATTACTGTCTTTCTATACAGATTGAAATAGGACTGGTTGTTGGAAACAGTCAAGTTGCATTTGAAAAAGCAGAAAATTCGTCACTCAATCTTATTGGTAAGATTTACAGTCTTTAGAAGATTCTGAATAAAGTGGGACTATCTCTGTTATTGTATGTGACTCAACGACGGTGATTTTCTGGTGGCAAAGGAAAATAGGGGCACCTCCCTTGAGAGGGCTTATAATAGTATTTCATATTTGTCAGATGTGCTGATGTAGAAAAAAAGTTTAAAACCTTCACTAGATCAGCATTGTCCTACAGAGATATAGTGTGAGCCACATATGTAATTTTTAATTTCCTAGTAACCACCTAAAAATAAGGAAAAAGATAAAATTAATTTTTAAACTTTTAATAGTGAGATAAGTTCAGGCCTACAGAAGATTTGCAAAAATAGTTCAGAGAGTTCCTGTATACCCTTCACCAGCTTCCTCTAATGTTACATTTTAAATTACAGTTACCAAAACTAAATTAACATGGTTACGTTGCTACCAACTAAACTTACCGACTGTATTCGGATTTCACCAGTTTTTTCATTATGTCCTTTTTCTGTTCCAGAATCTAACTCAGGATCCCACTTTGCGTTTAGTTGTTTAGTCTCCATAGTCTTCTCCAGTCACTGACAGTTCCTCAGACTTGCATTGTCTTTCATGACCTTGAGACCTGGTCAGTTATTTTGTAGAATGGCCCTCACATGATTGTCACTTCTATCTGTGACTGAGTTAAATGATGAATGTGTGGGTAAAGAAGGTCTTTCCAGTAGATTCATAGTTCAGTTCTACTCTTGTACATTAGCTCTACTTTTATTATATTAAAATAATCCAGATTAGTCTCTAAGAATAGTAACTCACCATAATAATTATGCCATTAACTGTATAGTAATTCTTGTTTTCGGTTCATTTAACCTTGTTGATGTCTACCCCAATAGAAATAGAGGATTTTCGTTGGTTGCACACCATCATACCCAAGGTTACTTAACTTCAAATGTTTAGCCTTTTTTCTTGATCCGTAAATTATCATTCCCCCCTTAACATTTTTTCTTGATTATAAAATAGAATATTTATTTCAAAAAATAGGGATAGGCCCTCACTCAACAACTCACACACTCTAAAATTTGATTCTGCTTTCATACTGTTTTATAATTTGTTCTTTTTGCTTAACATATTTCAAGCATCTTAAATACTCCTCTACAACATAATTTTTAATTACTACATATGTGATTTTATGGAGGTAGGATATATCATAATCTCCTCTTATTGATCCAATGCATTTCTAAAGTGATTTCTTTGTATTTTGTGTTTTGTACACCTTTTGTTAAGTAAGGTATCTTATCCCAAGGGAGTTGCATGACTTTCATAAATTGTGGGTATTTCTAAGTAATTCATGCAAAGGTGTGATTGATAGATTTTTTTTCTGTTAGAAAATAAAATTGTGGAGTGATTTAGTATGCAGTAAATTTGACCACAAGAGGGCAGTAGAGTGTAAGAAAAATATTTTCAATAGCTTTATAAAGGAAAAGTCCACAAAACTCTAACCATAAAATTACCATCTAGGATAAACTTTTTCTAATGTGACCTTTTCTTCCCTAATTTTTAAAAAGCTATAATATTAGTTTCTTTTTTTTGTTTATAGTAGAGTGTACTAAGGCACTTTTACTCTCTGTGTTTGAGATAGTTAATGTGATTCTCTTGGGTTACTTTAGGTGGCACTATGACATTTAAGTTAGATAATTTTCATCTTTGTGAAAGAATTTGAAAACATGAATTTTGAAATCATTAAAGACTTTAGGATGATTTTAGACTTCTGTGTGCAAGTGAAGAAAAAGCAAATAAGACATCAAACTTATTCAGTGCATCTTTTCATGCTGAAGGGTTATATACCCAATTATAAACTTAATCTGGATAAATATGTGTACTTTTAAATACACTTGAGAGACTGCTAGATTTCAGTTGCATTTCTGGCAACTACTGTTGTCTTCTTCAGATATGCACATGGTGTTTCTTCTAATCAACCAAGTTAGTTAACTTGGTTAGGATTAGAGATCAGTAAGACCAAGGATTGATTACAAATGGATTACAGCATGAGTTTAGCAAGTCATTCTGAAGGTGTTTTAGTGACCCTAAATTGGGACCAGACAAAGTAGTTACCATAGCAAAACTCATCTTTCTTATTAGAAAGTCAGCTAAGAGCATGGTGTTCATCTTTCTATAAGGGTAGCTTCTTTTTATTCATTGAGGATGCCCAGGGAGTTCTATCTCTTTACACTTAGTGATAAAGCTCTTGTTTCACGTTGATTATCTTTGTTTGACATAGGCAAAGCTAAAACCAAGGAAAATCGCCAGTCTATCATCAATCCTGACTGGAACTTTGAAAAAATGGGAATAGGAGGCCTGGACAAGGAATTCTCAGACATTTTTCGACGAGCATTTGCTTCCCGAGTATTTCCTCCAGAGATAGTGGAGCAGATGGGTGAGTTTAAAAAGGAAAATTTGATAAAATCTTGTATTGTTAGAAAAATAATGAATGTGCTTAAGTCTCTTTTCAATAATATTTTGAAATTATTTTTCAGGCTTGCCAAAGTATTTCTCTATTTTAACTTCTTTAAAAAAATAAATTTTTCTAAAAAATCTTTGAAGTATTAAAACTCTTAAAATTACACCTTAATTGTATGGAGAAGTCATAGAAATATTTGTGGTTGCTCCATTTTATTTATTTATTTATTTGAGTATGTTTTTCTGTAGGACATATTTAGAAATTTCATCTGACTCTAAAGATCTATTCTGGGTCAGATTTACCCTGCTAAATAATCTTTATCTATTAGACTGTGGGCGTTGTTCTAATATTAGCTGCTGCTTTTTCTTATCGTGCTGTTGCATTACCCAATTAGTACATCTTCATACCTAGTAAATGGATACTTAGCATGTTTTTAAATTAGATAAGTTTGATCCAAAAAGACAAATGCAGGATATACATAGGAGTTTCCATTTCACATACAAAGAATTGCACTATTCATTTATCACTTTCTTCTTGAAGGTTTATTTAATTTATCTGTGTGTGAAGCGGCTTTATTTGCCATACTGGAAATGCTGTCATGACTGTTTTCATATCCATATCACAGGTTGGGTTGGAATGCGAGCAACAGAATATCTGAGAAAGGAATTTATAACATAACAGCTTCTGGCAGACTATTAGTATAAAAACAGTATCCAAAAAAACTGAAAGAAGATGAATATATTACTCCCCTCTCCTCCATCATTCTTTATCATTAAATTGCTACTGGGAGATAAAAGTATATTCATCATGGTGGGGATAAGAGCTGCTTTCTAGGCACTAAGTGCTTGGTTCTATTAGCCTCCTGTTGTTGGTAGCTTTTCTGCCTGGTCGCTCACTCTAATAAATTACAGGCACAGCACACACCTGTTCGCTGGGTAAAGGTCGAGTTTGGAATTGGATTAAGAGAAAATGACAGAGACCCTCATCACCTGATGTTTATACACCTTGAAATGGCAAGAACATACTTTTTTATCTGAAAGATACAAAGGCCAAGTCTGTGAAAAACATAATTTTAATTTGGAAAATAGAAGTGTGGTAGTTCACTGTGTTGGTAATGTGTGTTTTGAGGCACAATAAGTCCATAAAGCTTTTGATCGAGACATGGAAATATTGTTTACATATATTTTGGATATAAGCAGAGATAAAAGGATGATTCCAAATGTTCTAAGTTATTCTTGTGGAATATTTTTACTGGTTTTCAAGACTGAGCTCTGTGCAGAAAGAGTGTAATGATTCTGCTTCTTTCAACATTTATACTATCCAGCCAACAAGTAGAAAAATAACTGCTTCTGTAATAAGCCATATCTTTTAATTATATTATAAATATTTTCTCACAGTTTGGAAGGTATTGAGGATTCTGTTATTCAGATACTAATTTCCTGTTTGTGCATGATCCAAACCCTGCTCATTAGGGCCTCTGTCTGAGGTCCAGGGGATAATGCATAAAGAAGTAAAACTCATATAGGTCAATTTGTGACTTTGCCAGCTGTTGAAGAGTTTGAAATTAAATCAAAACAGATTTGGAATTTCTGAGTGAATTTAATCTGTATTCTGTAATCTATATTGAAATTAGTTGAATTAAAATAGTATGCTTTTTGTTGTTGTTAACATGTTTTTTGACTAAGGACTGTGGATTTGAATTTTGTGAGTGCTACTATCCAGAACCTTTTTTATGGATTTATTTTTCTAATATTTTTACACTAATTTAATTAGACAATGATTTCTGTCTTTTTTAAAGAGTAATATATTTTTTTCTCATTACAGCTTTTTGCCATCAAGAAGTGTGTGTTGTCAATTTGATTTAAAAGACAATAAGTTTTAAGTTTAAAGTTACCTTAGCTTTTGCACTGACTTGAAACCCATTGTTTTCTTTATTTGGAATGAGGATTCTCAGTGTCCTAAAGCTACTTTTTTATGGTAAAATGACTGAGAAATAATTCTCTTGCTATGCATGTGTCTTTCCCTATTTTCCAATAGGGCTCCTTTTTTTCCTTTGAATTTTAGAGGAATTGCATAGTAGAATACTTCACTGCACTGCAAGTACAGTGTGGTTTAAAATTCTCATGAGGCATTGATAAGGGCAGATAAAGGAATAAATTGCTACGTTTGGATAGAATATAAAATAACATTACACAAGTCCTTTTTATATATATCCTGTGGTCTTTTCCCCTGCCGGGTGGGAACAAATTGGTTGATTTTTTTTCCTCACTCTTTGTCAACCAAATAGATAAACCTATATAGTTTGGGGATCCAATTGGACACTGGGTATGATTGGCTAAATCAATTCAAAAGGAGGAAAAATAGTGATTAGAAAAGAATAATTTATGTAGGTTATGGAGCTGTTTTGTTTTCAGCAGAGAACTTTTTTACTTTTGGCTTGAGACCAAATCATTGTCTTTACCATAGAGTCTAAAGTTATGTCTACTTTGTAAACAGGAACCTTAACTAAATGGATTTTTTGCCTATATATCAAAATTTCAAGTTCACAAAGTGATAAATTGAGAATTCTCTTCTGTCATTGTGTTTATAAGACTGACAATTATGCTTCTAGGTAATATAGTTCTTTCCTTTTGCTTATAAACCTTCATGTTGCTTTTCAAAATTAAAAATATAGTTTAGATACATACAGAATGTTGCCGATGAGAAATAAGATGACTACAGGACTAACCAGAGGCACACAATTCTGCAGTAAAATTAGGGCTCAGATGAGGTAATATATGTAAAATAATTGTCTTAGAGTTTCCAATCTGTTAGTTTCTCTCATGAAGTACTTTCAAGTACATAGTATATACCTTCCTGTTTTTGTAATAATATTTTTATAAAATTAAAATTAAGGAAAGCCTTAAGGGGGAAAAGAAGTTACATACATCCCTACAGAGGTAGACAGTCCATGTGCAGAAATAGGAAAAGGGATTACTTAGGGGGAATATCAGTTTAGACTTGTTTTTTTGTTGTTGTTGTTGTTTTAATCAGTGTAGCTCTTTACTTCTTCCTTGTCTGTAGCAATTGGACTCACCCAAACCCTCAGAAGGCAGCTCTTCTTTGGAAGTATATGTAAGCATTAGCAAAGAAAACTAGACCTATACCTTGCACTTAGTGGATACCAAATAGCTATTTAGTTAGAATGTCCTCCAGACCCCACGATGATAGACATTTAGTTAGGAATGACCTTAAATCCTTACTTTGTGGGATAGTAGAAGCACCTTTCAAGTCCCAGGGTAGAAATGTGGGCATCAAAAACTGGTATCTGGAAGTATAGGTGAATAAACTGGGCTGCTGATTGCTGTCCTTGAGCATACTCAGGTGTCAGCTAAATATATACTCTGTTCAGACCTTTACCACACTTATTCCCTTGTATGCAGTTTTGTGGCGAGTGCTCAGGGTAAGTGATTGATTGATTATCTCAGTTCTCATTGTAACTCTTTTGTTGGCAAAGATGGAGTTTCTGCAAAGAAACTTCATTTTTCAGCATCCCTGGCAATTGCCTCTAAACTGTAAATGTCAGAGCAAAAAAAAAAAAACAATTTCTTTTCAAAGAACAGTGGAATAATTGTTAAAGAATTAGTCAGCGTATCTTAGGACGTTGTCCACATGTATAAGGAAAAGGGCTTTGGCAGAAGCTATCTGTTTTAGAGGTAGGAGGAAAACAGTGCAGAGACTTAGGGCCTCAAGCTTCATACTGTCTTTTGGTGGATCTGCACCTTGTGGATACCTAGGCCACCTAGTGGGAGGAAAGCCACTTGTTATGGTCTTGGGCCCCCATTCTTTGAAACTGGCACTGTCTTCTTTTTGGTCCACTTTCACCTGTGCCTCCCTCTCTAAGCCCATTTTCAATCTGTATTTTTAAGGTTTCTTTTGAAATTCTAGAGGAAAGCAACTCTTTTCTGCTATCATAAGTGAAAGTGCAGTTACTCTATGAAGTAGAGCTGCCGAGAAGATAAGGAGCCTTTCAATCACATGCAGACATCTTTCACATGCTAAGAACAGTGCAAATAAAATACAGAAGAAAGAGCGCTAAGGTTTCGTACATGCCATGTTTGGGAGAGAGGGAGTTCTTGCTAAGATTAACATAAACACTGACACTCTTAAAATGCATTTTCACACCCCCACTCTTGAGGAGAGATTGCAATTTAAATGGGGGTTAAGACATCTAGCAGAACTCCAGGGCTCTGTAAAAGGAACCCTAAGGCTAAAGAGCTTATCTGAAATTTGAAAAAAAGAAAAAAAAAATGAAGCTTTCTGACATTCATCTTTTTTCCTTGTATTAGTCATAACTTGCTTTTCAGCTATATTTTAGGTTTTGAATGCCAACCTGACATCTGTTCAAGTCTGCCTGTAATTTATTAGGAAAGGAAAAGAAAGCCATTGCTCACTAGTTAGAGATGCAAAACTTCCCCCTTCTGCTTTTCCACAAAGTACTTATAGATGATACTTGGATGTGAGGAATGTAATTATTTAATAATTTACTGATTCTAACTTCAAGTTGGGAAATTTATCGTTGTTTTTTTTTAATTAGGAGAAAATAGCTTATGACCATGTGATTTCCAAAATCTGTGGAGCAGGATTTAGAGATAAAGCATACACCCTAAAAAAGATACTATAGGTGCTTTTTTGTAAGCTGAAATTTTTAACTTGAATTAATTTTTCCATTAGTCTTAATTTTTTAAGTTTATAAGAAATAATGTAGCTATGCTTATAACTCAGAGTCAAACTATATATAAATTCAGTTAGCATTTTTTATTTACAGACAGACTTTTAGAAATAAATCTTTTGGGGAGACAGAACTGTCTCTAGAGTCACCAATGGATTTGCCGGCAACTACAGCTGAGTTACTTACAGATCAATAATCGGGTCACTGTAAAGTGGAAGTCTAAGTTTGAACCTAAGTGTCCACCAGTAAGGAAATGATTAAATAA